TCCGTAGGATCCGCCACCCATGTCAGCCCTGCTGGCCGTAGTGGATCTGGCGGTTCTTGTCTAGCAGTTTCTGGGCCATCGATTCCAGGTGGCCCAGAGGGGCCGCCCCCATCTTGTGGCGGCCGCCCAGAACGTCGAGGCATGTCTCCCGAAGGCCGTCTGGGTTGACGCTCTTCAGTGTGATCTGGTCCGCGTTAGCGAACTGCATCCTGGTGTACTGGTCGTTGTGGCGCGTGCGCAGCCTGAGGTGGAGCAGAGCTCCGAGCCCGTCCCCATGCACACGAACTGCTGGTAGAAGTTACGCGGGAGCACGTGCCCCTGCGGGGCCTCCTGCTCCACGACGGGTACTTGAACTCGGCGTGAGCGATGTGCAAAAGTGGTGAGTTGGGGCTTCGCCTCGGGGACCTGCGCCGCCTCTGCGTACATCTTGCCCGCTTCCCGAGCTGCGACGATCGAAGTAGCCGTGGGCGGGGTCACGATGCTGATCCATTCCGAGGCCGCGAGGTCCCTGAGCTGCTGGGCGTGCTGGCGCGCCATCTTGGGGAGGAACGTGACCGCCTGCTGCAGGTCGCGCAACTTCAGGGCGCCCTCCAGACGAAGCATGATCGCGTCGTAGTCCCAGGTGTGCTGCGCGTGGGCCTCGAAGATGTCGCCCGCGTAGACAGAGCGGTGGTCTCGATCGTACCATGTGTAGAAGCGGCGTCCTGCTCCCATGGGGGCCTTGCACTTGCGCGGGGCGTGGGGGAAGTCGATCCTGCGTGACCGTCCGTGCGCCCCGATGAAGGTGTCCCCGCTGACAAAGAAGGTGCCGTGGTCCGAGAGAAACCGTTGCCAGAGACGTCCAGAAAAAAAAGGCCCTTCAGCTCCAGGAAGGGGCCCATGGCGCTGTCGACCTCGCTCCACAAGTCGGGCTCGAGCAGGGACGGGGGGCCGAGAAACGTCTCGTCCACGGAGTCGCCGAGCTGATGTCCGCCCCGCTGAAGGGCGTGCGTCGACTGCCCACAGACTCCAGCGTGGTGCGTGCCCACGAGATAATAGCCTGGGTCACCTGGCGGCATGAGTTGCGGCTGGAGCAGGACTCGGATGGCACGGAAAGGTGCCGAACCATGAGGAGCACGTCCGAGGAGCGGCACTGTCGCGCCGCAGCGGCCCGAGAGCGCCGCGGGCGGAGGGTAGATCCGACGTAGGTGTGCCTGCGGAAACCGCGGATGTAGGAAGATGCTCCCCCCGCGACTCTTGTTGGTCCAGCCGAAGGAGAGCTCCCAGTGGTAGTCGTGCTGAAAGTGGCTGTGGCGGCCGTCCAGTGTCGGGCGGCGGCTCGTCCCAGGGAAGAGGATCACGCCCATGTAATGCTCGCAGGTGATCTCCTGCGCGGGTGCTGCCCGTCAGGTAGAGAGGGCTGTACACGTAGAGCCTGGTGTACTGAGCAGGTTGAGGCTCTCGCTCCTGAGTGCGTCCAGGGGCGCGGCAAGCGCCTGTCGACATGTCGGCGGCCGCCCGCGGCGAGAAGCCGACGGCCGCGAGCAAGAGGAGAGCCTCCATCATGGGCCTCTTGGGCCCCGCGGGCGCGTGGGCATCGCGCGCTGCTCCCCTGGCGGGCGATGGAACAGGGTGGGAGGGCCGCGTGTCCCTCGACCTTCAGCCGTGGCGGCGGCTGCAACGGGAGGAGGACGAGGAGGATGAAAGAGATCACGGGGCGCTGTTGCGACGCAGCTGTGGCAACCGTCGTTATATGCACTGAATCAGGAAGAACAGACCACGAAATGCGCGAGGGGGGTGCCAGAATGGGCGCGCTGGGCGCATGCGAGCGCAACCGCTGGGGCCGTTGGTCGAGCTCCCTCTGCGGCCACGAAACGTGTAAACACTGAACCGAACGCATGCGAACGCAACCACTGGGACCGTCGGTGGAGCCCCTTTTTATGAGGCCACGAAACGCGCGAGTGGTGTGCCAGTATGGATGCTGTGGGCGCGTGCGAACGCAGCTACTGGGGCCGTCGGTGGACGTCTCTGTGGAGCCACGAGCCATGTGAGCGTGTAAGGGATGTGCCAGAATGGGCGCGGCGGACGCATGCGAACGCAACCACTGGGGCCGTCGGTGAAGCTCCCTGTGGAGCCACGAAGAACGAGGACTGTGCCAACATGGGCGCGTTGGGCGCATGCGAACGCAGCCACTGGGGCCGCCGGTGGAACTCCCAAATGGAGCCACGAACCGTGTGAGAATTACACCCACATGGGCGCGGTGGGCGCATGCGAACGCAGCCATTGGGGCAGCCGGTGGATGTACCAACGTGTGCGGGGTGGGCGCATGCGAGCGCATTCACCGGGGCCGTCGGTGGAGCTGTTTACGGAGCCACGAAACGTGTGAGGGGTGTGCCAACATGGATGCGGTGGGCGCACGCGAACGCAACCATTCGGGGCCGTCGATGGAGCTCCCCATATCGGGCCACGAAACGTGTAAGGATATGCAAAAATGGACGCGCTGGGCGCATGCCAGCCACTGGGGCCGTCGGTGGAACTCCATGTGGGGCACGAACTGCGTGACGGGTGTTCCAAAATGAGCGCGGTGGGCGCGTGCGAACGCAGCCACGGGGCCGTCGGTGGAGCTCCCTATGGGGCCACGCAACGGGTGACGGGTGTGATACATGGATGCGGCGGGCGCATGCGAACGGTAGCATGTGCTCCTTCGGTGGGGCTCCCGATGGGGGCCACGAAACGTGTGAGGGGTGTGCGCCGAAACAGAAACATGCGGAAGGCAAAAGCAAAAACGAGAGTGGGAGCAGGGGGAAGAGGTAGGAAGGAAGGAGCGCGGGGCGCCGTTTGACCAAAACGAGGACACGACACCACAGGATGGCTGGGAAAAGCGAGGACCCAACACTGCACGACAATTGGGAAATACGACGGGATCGGTATCGCCTCCCCGTCCTCGTCCTCAGCTTCGTCTGCGCCACAGGTGGCCACGCGCAAGGGCGGCCCTGCGTGACACTGGGCGAAGCGCAATGGGAATTGGGCGGGCGGGCGGTGGGATGAGAGCGCACGCGGCTGCCCGGAAGGGGGTGGAGGGCAAGCAGAGCGGGGGAAGCTGGAGGCTGCGACGGGGCATTGAGCACTGAGCACTGAGCACTCCCACGCATGTGCACCGTCTAGGGCGCTGCGCGTGCGGCACCGGAGCGCTGGGGTTCTAGACAGGTCGCGCGGCTCACTAATTTCTCATGTGTTTTGCGTTGCGTATTCATTTCCAATCATATTCCAATGCTTCGTTGATGCGACGAGGGGACACAAAAATATTAGCCCACGGCGGCAACAGAGCTGCAAGCCGACCCCAACCGCCCGCGGCCACGATCCGTCGCACATGACTGAAAAGAGGCTCGCGCCCCAGAGGCCACCCTCTACTTGTTGTAACATGCGTAAGGCGCGCGCCCCCGAGGCCACGCTCCTTCGCAAATTGCGGAAGGCGGCTCACCGCGGACAAAAACGCTGCGACGCAACGGCCGACCGAGCCGCACCGACCGCGACGCGGAGACGACCGAACCCGAGGCGCGGACACACCTGGAGGGCGAGGGAAGGCGCGAGGGCCCGAGTGCACGGTCTCAAGCAGTAGGTCCTGAGTCGTTGTCGGTACTACCTGCTCAGAGCGGAATTGGGCAATGCAACGACCGACTCTGCTCGAAACCGAGCAGTTTCACGACCTGCTCAGGTCGAAGCGATTTGACAACGTGCTCTGGCCGGAGCAGTGTATACGACCTGTTCATGTCGAGGCAGTGTCATGACCTGCTCAGGCCAATGCAGCTTTACGAGTGCGCCGCCTCCTCCTCCTCCTTCTCCTTCTTCTCCTGCTCCTCCTCCTCCTCCTGCGAGCGGCGACGCGGTCTGCCCCGCGCCCGCTCTGATCAGCAGGAGCTCCGCGGCGAACCGATAGCCGACAACAGCCACGCCCAGCAGTTGCAGCAGCGGCCCGGCGGCGCCGCCCGGCAGGCTAGCCAGCGAGCCCCCCCCCCCTCCTCGTGCTCCTCGGAGGTCTGCATATTCGTCCT